GATTTTAGAGTTGGTTGCGATGAGTTATACAGTGATAGAATTGCGTTCTTATCAAATTTATTTTGCTGTTGTTGTTGCAATGGTTGCTGCTGTTGCTGCTGTTGCAATTGCTGCCACTGTTGCAATTGTTGCTGCTGTTGCAATTGTTGTTGCTGTTGCAATTGTTGTTGCTGTTGCAATTGTTGTTGCTGTTGCAATTGTTGTTGCTGTTGCAATTGCAATTGTTGTTGCTGTTGTAATTGTTGTTGCTGTTGTAATTGTTGCTGTTGCAATTGTTGCTGATGTAGGAATTGTTGTTGCCGTTGCAATTGTTGTTGCTGCAGTAGTTGCTGTTGTTGAAGCTTGATTGTCATATCTTGGGAAAATATTTATCATAAATTAAATGAACCGTTAGAATTGGCATTGTCAGACAATTACCAGGAATACCGCAATAATAATGATAATCCAAACCTGGCTTCTGAACTGGCTGACCAAACCCACCCAAAAGATCTACAAGATTTTGCGATTGTGTGGAAATTTGTGGCGAAGGTGTTAAATCTATAAGTGATTGGCTTTGTGTCAATTGTAACTTAGATTGCTCTGGCTGAGACTTGGTAACAAAATTGGTATTGTCTGTTGTTGCAGATGTACGGGATTCAATAAGTAATGCAGCAGCAACCTCTATATTACCACCACTACGTCGAAGGGCATCTCGATTTTTGGCTTCATCATGAAATCCCATATTCCATAATCGGACTAACTTATCATCGCTAGATGCAAGTGAGTCTGTGGAGGAATGAGTCTGTTCTTTGGGAGTTTGTTCTTTGGAAGCTGGCTTTCCATTAGATAGACGGCATAATATTTCAATTGCAGAGTTGAGATCTCCATTTGTTGTAGATAAAACTTCTCGATTTTTAGCAGTATCAGTAAAACCCATATCCTTAAGTTGACGTAACGCATTCTCATTAATTCCTCGATCCACATGTTTTGGTGGTGTTCAAAGTTCAGCAATGGATACTTGGAATAAAAAAGTATAATTTGTTTTAAGTTCTTTTTATTAGTATTATAATTTGTCTATTTATTAATAACATATAAATATTAATTGTAATTCTAATTAAGAACTCATTGAGTAATATAATAATAAAGCTATATAATACTGTAATAGATTTGTCTAAATTTAGTGCTTAAAAAATTGGTTGCAATTTGTGCAAGAGTAATTTCCTTTTTAATCGCTATGTGTAGATCAATTAATTAATTTAGAAAATGAACGAGTTATTTTTGGATAGGTTTCATTACACAAGCCAGAACGATTGTAAAAATATACTTATTATAGTGCTATGCACTAAGAGCGGTGCATTATTGGATGAGCGAAAAAATTTTTTAAACTTCTAACTATACAGAGCAATGAATTATTTAAATTATTATGAGAAACTTGATATAAAAAAAAAATATATATACTATAACTTATACTAAAAAACTAAAAATTATATGATTTTTTTTGTTTTTTTTTCTATGTAGGGATAAGATTTTTTTTATTTTAAGTAAGACATATGCACTATTTTTGTGCAGATCTTTCTATTTTTAATAATTTTTTAAAACTCTTACCCCTATATAGATTGCTCGGAGTTTTCTTTAAATCTACATTCACGTGACTTGTTCACTTTTTTGCCAGACGGTCTACGGGCGAAAATTCTACAGACATTGCTTATAGACAGTGCAAATTACATGATATTATATAAAATCACCTACCCTAACCACTATCTAACCAATCACAACTTAATCACGTGATTTTGCACTGTTCCTAAACACTGTCCGTAGATTTTTCGGTCAACGGGCACTAGAATGTCCAGGATTATGTGATGCAATGCTATGTGCATAATTGACCGATTTTTCGCATCGCATATGCTTCGTATAATTGAGTGAAAAAAAGCATAGCAAGAATATGATTGGTAGATTTAGTACGTATCAA